CCCGCCCCCGGCCAGGCGGCGTCCAGGCCCCCAGCCCCTCCACGCCCTTGGCGTGGGAGCGAAAAACCCGTCCCTCCTCCGTCCTCGCGAGCTGGGGCGCCGACCAGCCCCTTCCCCACCACATCCTCCACCCGGACTCACTAAGTCCTGTCCACCCCAGGCCAGGATCCAGGTAATTGGAGAAAACTTGGGCCTCAATGAATCTGGCCAATGGAAGCACAACTAGACATTTTTTCTTTCCTTTTTAAAAGTCCTATGTTAGTTTATGTGGCAAATGCATACAGTTGAGCTGTCCACCCTTTGTGCGTCTAACGTGACTGCAGCTGTCAGCTGGGCTGTGGGGTGAGTTTTCAGCGACCGCAGGCTCCGCATGCGGACACCTTGCCAAAGCTGAGGAACAGTATTAGGAAGAGGAGAGTGAGGGCTGAGACGGCGGGCAGACCGATCTGAACAAAACACAGAGCTGGGCCATCAAAGTGCATGGCAGAGATGCCACAGGAGGTGGTGTGAGACTTAAAAAAACATTATTATTGGTTTGCCTTTTAAATTATCCATCACAAGACTGAAGTTAAAAAATCACAGTTCTCCCAAATGTATGCTCTTAAATGGTTATTTTCTTTCTGCTGTCATCAGCTTTCCTCTCAGAATACAGGTGTGAAATCACCCAATACACGTGCTCAGGACTCCCCTTGAAGAGGGAGGATGATGCCTGCATAACCCTGAAGGTTGTCCCCCCAACTCTTTCTGTAACCTCGCTGGTTCCTCACTGCCTAGTCCCAGAATTGACACTGGGAACTTGAAAGACATCTTTGGCAAGGCTCTCCTCTCACTCATCTAAGAGAGGAATTAACCTCGCTTTATCTAATTCCAATCACTGAAAGCCTTTTTTTTACCAGAACTACAATAGAATAACAATAGCTAATACTTACTGAATGCTGATTATATACTAGGCCTGGGGCCAGACCCTGTACATGTATTATTTCATTTTTAACCCTCAGCGCCCTAGTCAACAGCTGTGGTGGAATAAAGACCACAATAAAGGGCCTTAGGTTCCAGACCAGCTGTTTCTCAGACTTTTTCCGCAGCCAACAAAAACACTTATCCTGTGAACTTCACACTTAATTGTGTCTTCTTGTAAACCAGGCAACCCCCCTGGCTCTAGAGTGTCTGCCACAGTGACTTAATATCAGCAACCAACTACCACTCCTTTCTTTTTTAAAAAATAAAATTACATCTTATTTTAATGGGGGTACTAAGGATTGAACCCAAGACCTTGTGCGTGCTAAGCATGCGTCCTACCACTGAGCTACACCCACTCCCCTACTGCTCTTTCTAATAATGGTTTATTACTATGCCAGGTACTGTGCTCAGCCTTGTCGGGATTCAGGGCCCTTTCCTAAAACATATCAAACGAATTGTCATCTATCTGTCTCTAGGTAAGTTTTGAACTGCTGGAGGGCAAGGACCACCCTGCCTCACTCAGTTTTATACTCTCAGAGCCTAGCAAGGTGTCTAGTGCATTAGTAATGAAGGTGTTGAAAAAGTGAGTGAACACCCACCATAATTTGGCACACTTCAACATGCAGCTTAGAATGATGGAAGAGCATCCTGGGGACATAAGGATACAAGCTTCCTCAACCTTCATCGTCAGATTCATCTCTCAAACATCTTCAGGCAGGGGATCTGGTTCTAGGACTGGTTCTGTCACTGATTGGCTGAGATCCTTCTTGTCATCAGAATCAGGGTGTCATTTTGGTGTATCTCCAGGGCTGTTTAATGCTTTCTCCAGGCCATGACAAGGGCAAAGCACTTGGGATACGAATTAGACCTGATTTCAAGGAAAACCCAAGAAGACAAAAAATAGAGTTTACATCACTGGGCTAACTAAAATAATAGTGTTGCAATCCCCATACTGCCTCATTGACACGTGTGTATGATCTGGCCCCAGCCTTTTTTTCCAGCTTCATCTTGCTCCATCCTAGTCTGTCAGGTCCCAAAATGTGTCACGCTCCTTACCACCTCAGGGCCTTTGCACATGCTGTTACTATTGTCTGGAATGCTCTTCCTCTTCCTGTTTGCTGGTTAGCATGTACTCATCTTTCAGCTTAGTTCAGACATCACTTCCTCAGGGAAGCCTACCCTGAACCCTCCCCTTTGAACTATGTCCCTGTTATATGCTGACCATGGTAGCTCAAAGCTTTATTTCTTGCATTTACCAGTTTTTCCTGAACTACTTGTGATTATTTGTTTAAGATCTGTCTTCTCCACTAGACTGTAAACAAAGATTGAGCCTGCTTTGCTCACTGCTGGGTCTCCAGTGACCAGCAAAGCCATACTTAGTGTGCAAATTATTTTGCCTTTTTTTGGTTAGATCTCTTAAGTATGCATTTGGCTGAGAACCCAGAAATCATCATTTACAGGACTGATTAATGTGCTCTCTTCATTTGATAAACTCTTCTCAAAGACCATTCTGGTTTTTAACCTACTTTGTCAGCAGCGGTCCTGATTAATGTGTCTGGTTTCTTAATCTGATCTTACTCACTGTTCTCTATCACGTATGCAGTTTTTGCTAAGATGATTCTGTTTAAGGCCTAGAATATGAACCTTCCTGAAATGGACCCTAACATCGTCATCCCACGGCTCAAGAGAAAACAGACGTGCGTGACTTTGAAACAGCCACAAAGCTACAGGTATCCAACCAGAGAAGAAAAATCTCAGGTCAAGGCCACCAGGAAAAACTCCAGGGTCTGTTAGCCACACCAGGTTCCACACCTGAGCCATGTTCCTGAAATGAACCAACGTTACCCCACAGAGCCTCTCAATCCCACGTATCCAATTAGCACTTTTTAGGTAAAACTGTTTTTAAGTGTTTATGTATTATCTTGACTCAGAATTTCTCTCTTTTGGGGTATTTCTATTTCTGTTTAATAGATCTGTTCACAGACTCTAAAAATACACTTACGTCAGTCTCTTTTGAAGGTTGAGATCATTTCTGGCAGGCAAATTACAGCACAGTTTAGTTGCCTCCTCTTAAGATCAAAGAATGTTGATGACAAAATAGAAAGGCTAAAATCTAGTTTTATCTTGCAACTCTTTCAAACATACTGAGGCTGTCTCTCCTTAGCAGAAACTGCTCACATATTTAAATAGCTTAGGCTGAGGTAGATCGACTGATAACATGAAAGTTTCCACTGTTGAACCTCAAGTGCTGTAATTCACAAGAACGTGGAAGGGCAAGAACAGGTGCCGAAGGTAGGATAACCCCATGAGCTAAAACACGTTTAGCCACATAATAACTTCGGACTTTTAAAAAATCCGTTGGTTCCCCCTGCAATGGTTCTACTTAGCACCTAGTCAGTGTTCTCTTTTCACTAGGCAGGTTGACAGGTAGCCATGAACCTATCATAAAAAGGAGGAGAAAATTTAACATTTCGTTTCTCAGACTGGAAGTCAGCCTCTCCAGGGACATTTTGGGTTTCCAGCTTGGAGGCAGTAGTTCAGAATCGACTGTATCTTTCTCAGTCTTGCTTTGTACAAACCAGCCTAGCCTGGGAGAGAAAGCAAGCATTTATAAAGAAGGCTGCCAAAGGTCACCCTATTTCTCTTTTCAGCACCCTAATTAAAAAGGCTGGATGGGGTGGCTCCCCTACTCTAATGAAAATCATTTCTGAAGTAGCACTGAAACCTTTTAACAAAGGGGCATTTATGTAGCACAATAGAACCTTGATATCTGCAGTGCTTAAAAAAAAAATTACATCCCCCTTCCTCAGGAAATTAACTTGCCAGGTTTGGTTTCAAGAGACTAACTTTCCTTATTTCACCCCTGTGTAATAAAAAGAAACCAAAGACAATTATTTTTATTATTAAAAATATTTTTTATTCACTGAAGCTGATCCATTCTCTTAGAAGGGACAGAGAGGCACATAGTATATTCCTTAAAAAATTAAATTAATTTACAAGTTAAAATAGAAGTGTTTTAGTCTTTAACGATAAAAAAAAATGCACATAAAACTTGATCCTCCAGCAAGCTTTTGCTTGTATAAGGTGACAGGACTACCACTGACTCAGACAAGATGGGCTCCACTCAGCTTTTGGGACAGAAGGACCTCAACTGTCAGTAAACCAGGAGACAGTTTCCAGTTAAAAATATTTGATATCATATCATTTTATGTCTATTTACACAGCAAAGTCCGGGGCCAAAACCACAGGAGGATACTATTTCTCATATATTTGTTGCTGACTCTGATAGGCTACTGGTTTATAATTTAAATATAATGCACAGGTTTTTTTTTTTTAAATCAGATAGTTAAAATAGCATTTTATAAGCAGGGATTCTCTATTTGATGTTCACACTTTTAAAGAGCTCCTCTGGTATTTAACTGTAGTCTGCATCTTTACGGAGAATATCTTTTCTCTCTCAGCATAATCCCAAGTTTACGTATTATATACATAACATACAAGAAGGTCTAATTTCTTACACAGTGAAAATGGTTAACCTGAAAACAAACAAAATATAGATGTTTAACAATTAACTTTCAGTTTCTGCTCCTCTTTGGTATTAGATGATGTTTATGAAGGATTACAGCCCTCTTTTTGTTTTCAAGGTTAAGTATTAGGTATGGATGTCTGCTTCCTGCCTTCCACATGGATGAGAAATCGGCTTCTGCAGGAAGGAAACAGAGTTAATAAAATCAAAATCAATGAGCACCGGACTGGATAATACGCTGTAAACTCCCAGCCTCTGAAAAATTAACTGTGTGCTGATTCTCATCAACATGAGGTCATGCAAAATGTGAGGCACAGGAAAACTTCTCAGCAAAGAGAGAGCACAGAAGACAGGGAGCCAGGCAGAGGGCTAAACTCTACGCTTTCAGCGTTTTAAAGAGCTCCTGAGCTTAAATTGAAAACAACTGAAATGATGACGCTTTTTCACTTATCAAACTGGATTCTAAAGAAACTGCGTATGAAATGAAGGTTTGACAGAAGGAAACACAAATCAAGAAAGTGCTTACTGGGCCAATACGCCTTCTTCTAAAACTTCAAACCTCATGCAAAGACTCCTTTCCAGAAAGACATTTGGAGCAAGTGCTGATACACTGTTTAGATTCCAATTTTGAAAGCTATGTGTATTCACTTCCCTAGGTTTAAAAGTCTAGCTACTGGGAACAAGAGTTTTCTGAACTGCATCTTTCTCTTACAAAGTAACTGACATTCTACTCGGATTAAATTTAGAAGGTGTGTAAATAGGTCAAGCAAAAAAGAAAGGATTACGGGTCAAACAAATGCACTGCCACGACTCTATCAGTGTTCTCAAGTTACTTATTAAACGTGAACTGAGATAAAAGGTGGGACAAGGAAAGGTGACTTACCCACGATCACAGGGAATACTGAAGGCAACAACTGTTTTCTTCAGTTACTGAGAAGGGTGTTCTTTTCAGCTGAATCTTCTGAGACTTCTCCATTCTACAAAACAACTCCCAAATTAGTACCTATAATAGAACAACTAGAAAATGCCTAAAAAGAAATTCATAAATAGAGTGGAAATGCCTGTACAAGACCTTGGGGAATTACTGAAACACAATGAAGTAACTTCATGCAACCACCATCCACACACCCAACAAAGAGGTACTGACTTCCTGTTCGTGTGAGGGGCCCCTCCGGCTCCAGTCCCGCAGCTGGAATGCTGTTTGCTTTACCCTGTGTTGCGGCTAAACTGGCAGTCGGCTAACGCTTGGGTGTCACTGGCTCTTTGTCAGCATCGTGTAGACTGTGCGGTGAGCCCTTAACGAAGACAATGATCGTCAAGAAGAATCAACAACTCTAAGTGCCACTTGAATTCATCGGAGTACTGAGTGCGACGGAAGGCTTAGCCTTGTTAGGTTTTGGGGGAGATATTAAAAAAGAAGTAAGAGGAGGATGACACCTGCAGAGGCACCAGAATTCTCAGGAGATGGCCATGGGCTGGAGGGGACGCCCCCTTCTCAGCCTCCCCATCCTCCCCGTGGGGCCTCCGCGCAGCCTCGTAGGGTGATTCTCGACGCTTCCAGACATCTGTGCTCTTCACCACGCTGCTTCCTCTCGACTTGAATAGCCCTCCTACGTATTCTACAATCTGATGTATTTTACTTCATTTATTTAAAAGCATTTTCCTAAAAGGGATCACAGGCCTGATCAGCCTGCCACAAAACGGGTTAGGAACCCCAACAAGGAACCCCAATGGTCTCAAACTAGTGACGAGGAGGTCCGGCCCCGTGTCCTAGTCAGAACTCCAAATTCCGTCTGGCTGTGGCGGGCCCCAGTCCCACATCACAGGAACCTGCTGGGGAGCAGGGGGGTGTGGCCGGCTGTGCTTTTTTATTCTTTCCTTTTTTCTCTATTTTTAAATTATTGGATTTTTAAAAATAGTTCACACACGAGCATGGTTTGAAAAAAATTACATATGTTCTTATTCCCCTTCCATATGTAGAATTCCACATGAGCTTCTCAGTGTCTGCTTCTTTCCACTTAATAGTATATCCTGGAAACACTTCTGCATCCAAGGCCTTCCTCAGTGCCGTCCCCGGTAACTCTCCATCTGTGGACGAGCTCTTCACTCAGTTCCTTCCCGCTGGACGCCTGGATCGTTTCCTAACTCTTGCTGTTATAAAGCAACGATGCTGTGAAAAACGGGCACACACACACCACGTGATACACGCCCAGAGGGGCCTGAACAAGAGACCCCAAAGCGACGCTGCTCAGTCCACAGGCCAGGCCTTCTGCAGCTTTTACAAAACCCGACAGGTTCCTCGCCAGAAGGACTCAATCACTTTGCTCTCCCCCAGCAACGTGTGAGAGGGCCTGTTTCAAAGGAAGGCTTCCAATGAAGGCCTGTGTCTTTAGCAACAGATACCGAAACCCCGGTGAAGCAGACACACGGGCTGCTCAGAGCTCACCCTGCTTCTTGACTGCCAAAGCTGAGAAGTTTTTACAAAACCATTTACTTTTTCTGTCACCAGCTATACCCCGTTCAAAGGCCCAGAGCGGAGGAGTTTATACAGCGTTGCCACGTATATTTCTGTTCATTAAATTGATTCCCCCACACCTCTGGAATCAATTAATAATCCACTGGAAAATTCATTACACCCGAAGACAATTATTTTTTCCAACTGAATGATTATCTGATTCCAGCTGTGGGATGTTTTGCAAGAGATTCAGTCACTTTCACCCGCAAGACGGAAGGTCTGCGTGGGGTTTGATCTCTCTTCTGGATCTTTCCAGCTCGAAAATTCTCTTCAACCAAGTTTTCACCAACCTCAAAGAGCTTGAGCATTTTTCTGGTCTATCCCTGAGGTCACTGTTCTGCCCTTTTCCTGAGCTTGTCCCGTCAGGTCCTTTCACGGTATCGACCCAGCATCCTCTGCAGCGGGCGGGGCACACGCTAGGACCCAGGAGGTCGAAGGGAGTGAGAGGGGCCCCTCGCGGCGCTGGGGACGAGCAGAGCCCACGGATGGAACCGGCCCTCCTGCACTGCGACACACGTGCTGATGGAGACACTTACACACATGCAGCTGTGCTCGGAGGACACGCGTGAGGGGGCTACTGCTTCCCTCTTAGAGAGCGATTTAACACAGAGCCCTGCGGACAGGCTGAGAGGACACCCTGTGGCCACAAGGATGAGCGGGAGTCTGTGAGGCAGGTGACTCTGAAATGCAGTCGGTTCCGCTATGACGCTTGCTTTGAAAATGTGAGTCCGTTCCCACACACCTGATGCATTAGGGAGTAACTTGGGCGTAATGTGAACTTTGCATTTGTTCACGAGTGATTCTGTCCACAAGAAACACTAGGTGAACTGGGCCTTGCTGTGCAGGAACACACCCCCGGATACACACCCACACCCCCGCCCCTCAAACATCCCCCGGCTCCCCAGCTTCCCTGGCGTGTGGAGCCACGTCCCTCCACACCTGCTGCTACGACACCCCACCCCGTAGCCCTCCTCCGCCACTTCCTGACACATCACATCACGAGCTGCAGCCTCCCCGACCCCCGATTCTACATGCAAACTTCAGGTCTTTTTCAAGGTGAAGTGCCACATTCAGGGCAAGATTTATGTATTTCTTAACTACTTAACACGTATAAAACTATCCTGCCATTTAAACTACATCCCTGTCCTTTTTTTTAAAAAAAAATGTGCCATTGATAAAGTTTTTGAGTGTTATGCTCCTAACTCCATTTTCTTCATAAACGGTGTGGTTTTTATTGTGCACTTTTGCATTGTGTGGTGATTTTTAGGAACTTGTGTGTTGCATCACAGCAGATGTAACTGTGGTTGTCAAAAAACTGAACAAGATTGTGATATAATAATACATATTCTTATTAGTGCATTAAATAATAAGACCTAGCAGTGGGTCTAACAGTCTGTCATTCTGAGTGTCAGCATGGATGATATTTCAAGACACCCACCGTCACTGTGACGTGCTGGGGAGCTGTCTTCGGGCTCCACCAATGACAGGGTCACAGGCAGAATGTACTACTATGCCTTGTTTCCTATCTTCATAATTGAAGGAAGTGCCACATGTCAATTAGAGGTTAATAAACACAACCTTAGGTATAGTTTTTATCCCCGTCAAAGTTTACGGATCTCCCGAATTCTGTTCAATCAACTCTGATGAAAAGTCTCTGCGCAACAAATTCATCAAGACAGAAAGCAGTTGAGTGGTGGCCGAGGCCAGGGAGGTGGAAGGGGGAGTAACTGCCAGTGTGTGCAGGCTCTTTTGGAGTGATGAAACTGTTCTAAAATTGGACAGGGATGGTTGCTCTACTGTGAAATATACTAAAACCA